CACTGTGCCCCCTCAGAGGCACCAGCACCAGCTGGGCAGGGCTCAACCAAACCTGCCTCCTCCAGGCCGCCACCAGGCAACACCCTCTCCTCAGAGAATCAGGGTGCAGTTCCTCCAGATCCCTCCAGGCTTCTACGTTCTGATAACCCCAATCTTCCTCCCTTTGTTTTTCAGTTCTGGATGAAGTAGCTGCTTAATGCAGTCCATTAAAAAACTTATCCAAGTTTTTTAAGAATCCCTTTTTGTTTTTTCAGCCCTCCAACAAGAGTTTAAACTAATTCCCTTTACTGAGTTCACTCCTTTAAAATACCTATGTGTGGTTTCTGTTTTCCTGATTGGATCCTAACTGACACATAGACAAACTGAGCTCACAAGAAAGTAAGGGAAATCCCAGGAAACAGAAACAAAGAAACTGAAAACTGGATTAGTGAGCTGATGGCATAACTGTCCCAGCAGTGTAAGGAATTTACGATCTCCTCATAGTCCAGGAGACAGAGCTTGAGCCAACAAAAAGCAACTGAGATCCTTGTATAAAGGCTGAGACCCTCAGTTAAAAGATAGAGTAAGAAAAAAATCTGTCCACAGGCAAATAAGGAAGGTTGCCTTGCTCACCTAGTGAAGTAAGACGAAAAAACCTCCTCGGAATTCAAAACCATAGGTATGTACAAGAGGTGGATTTGGAGTTAAAATTCATACTAAGCCTGTACCCTGGAAATCTACAAGTAGAGAAAAATTACAGACATTTTGATCCCAGGTTGGTATAGTCTTGAGTGCCCAACAGAAGCAAACACAAAGTCGCTCCAGGAGATATATGAATGGCCAATAAATACACGAAAAAATGTTCAACATCATCAGTCATCAGGAAAATGCAAATTAAAACCAAATGAGATATTACTACATATTACCTCTATGAGAATGGGTAAAATTAAAAAGACTAACAATATCAAGTGTTGGTAAGAATATGAAGCAACTGGAGCTCTCATATACTGCTATGGGAACATAAAATGGTACAACCACTTTGGAAAACTGGTAATTTCTTAAAAAGTTAAACATACACCTGCCATACAACCCACCCATTCCATTCTGAAAAGAAGGAAAATTTACGTCCATCCACTCAAAGATGTGTCCATAAATGCTAACAGCAATTTTATTCACAATAGCCAAAACCTGGAAACAACCCAAATGTCCATCAACAGTGAATGATAAACAAAATTGTATAATATAGTCACACAAGGAAATACTACTTAGCAATAGAAAGTAACAAATTACTGATATATGCAACTAAATGGATAAATCTCAAATGCATTATGTTACCCGAAAGAAACCAGACACAAGAGTACACACTGTATGATATGACATATAAAATTCTAGGAAATGCAAATCAATCTGCAGCAGTTCCTGGGGCCAAGGTGAATGGAAAGATGGACGGTAAAGAGGCATGAGGAAACCTGGGAGTGATGGAAATGCTCTGTACCTTGGTTGTGGCAGGTTTTTATAGGTGTATACATCTGTCAAAACTCTTTTTACTTTAAATAGCTTATTGTACATAAATTATACCTAAGCAAAGCTGATTTAACAAAAAAAAAAAAAACTGCTCTTGAGAGAACTGACTTCAACCCAAACTACATAAGATTACCATAGATGATGTTCCTTTAAATATGAGCTCACAACCCCAAATTACAAAATATTTGAGGAAACAATTCATCATGAGCAAGAGTCAGTTAAAACACATGGCAGGATTACACCCCTAAAAACTTCAAATATTGAACAATATGATAGAGACTATAAGTTAAGTTTATTTAAATATTATAGACATAAGATGAATTGAAAACATGAGTTAAGTTTATTTAAAATTATTATAGACATAAGATGAATTGAAAACATGAGACAAAAACAAAATGCCATGAAAAACAAAGAGGCAGATTTGAAAATGAACCAAAGAGTACTCTAGAAAGGAAAAACTAGCTAATGAAAATAAGAATTCAAAAAGTAAATTAGTTCTAGCCGAGGAGCAATTAGTATGGTAGGAGACAAATTTAAGGAAATTACCCAGAGGTAACACAGAAAGATAGAGATGGAAATTATGAAAGAAAGAATAAGAGATGTGGAGGACAGAATGAGAAAGTCCAATGTAAGTTACATATGAGATCACGGAGAGACACTATTTAAAGAGATAATGACTGGGAATTTTTACAAAATTGATGAAAGCTATGAAATCTCAGATTGAGGAATCACTATAAGCCCCCAGTAGGATAAAATTAAATCCACACCATGTAAGGAAACTGCAGAACACAAATGACAAAAAGGAGGATCTTAAAAACAACCAGAGAAAAAGGCAGGTTACCTACAAGGAAATAATAGTTAAATTGTGAGCATAGTTCTCAAGAGCAAAAACAAAAAACCAGAATTTCAGTAAAATAACATTTTCAAAGTGCTGAGAAAAAATAATTTGAAGCCTAGTACTCAGCCAAACTGTCAGTCAAGACAGAAGAGGAAATATATTTTGCAACAGAGTGTTTACCACTAACAGACTCTCACTGAAAAAAACACCTGAAGGATATATTCGTCTTATTTGACACAAAACGAAGGAATAAAATGCAAGAAAGAATAGTGACAAAACAAACAGTAAACATACATGGGGTAAAATGAAATAATCACTGACAGCACAAAACAATAATTATTATTAATTGGAATTGTTAAACATGGAGATGGACTACCTTTTGGTGGTAGGTGGAGATGGACTCCGGAGTGGTCTCATTCTTGGAAGTGCTCATTGTGAGTCTGGACAACACTCTTTGATATGTTTAGTGTACACAGGGTAAGAGGCTGAAATAAATGACCCCCCACATACCTACTGACCATAGGGTTTTATCAATTAGACACACCATCAAAACATTCCCTGATAAGCTGTTTAGTCATCTGTGGCAGGACTTCCCCCCCATCCTAATAGTTCTAGAATTCAAGTTCAAGGCATTCTTCCCACTTCCATATTCCATGGATAAAAAAGAATATTCTAAATAGAAATATTTCTTATATGAGCTTTTGAGGAAGATCTTCTAATTTTGGGGGAGTACAGCTTTTGGTTTTAGATTAAGAACCAGGCATTACAATTAGTCATCATTTGCTTGAACTTGGGCCAAAAAAAGAGTTCTCTGGAACTTTCACAGAGAAGTATGTGCTTCTTCCGCTAAAGAAGAAAATCCACATAGGAACAGAGAGGGAGGGAACAGATACACTCATCCCTGCTGATTGAAAGTTACCTTACTTGATATGAATGCTCCCTCCAGGTTCCCATATACCCCCAACAGTAAAAATCTCCACAAGGTAGAGAGCCCCCAATTCCCTGACTATCAACAGTCTGCCCACCACAGAGTAACACATTTGACAATCCAGGGACAGCCCTGGTGGGCCTAGTGGTTAAGTTCCACACGCTCTGCTTCGGCAGCCCGGCCGCGTCTCTGGGGCAGAACTTCACCACTCATCTGTCAGTGGCCATGCTGTGGCAGTGGTTCACATACAAAAAGAGGAAAATTGGCAGCGGATGTTAGCTCAGGGTGAATCTTCCTCAGGAAAAAAGAAAAAAACAAAAACCACAATCCAGAACTTTGGGAACACAGGACCAGGCAACAGACACTGGAGAGAGGGAAGCATGGATTAAAGCAAGTAAATATCACATTTTCAGGAGGCAGTGCCATTCCAGGCAAGAGGATAGCCTAATACAGAGGTTCAACAGCCACTAAATAACGATGGGAAAGCCGGGCTCCTATCTCCCTTCAGCCCAAGAAAGCTCATTCATTTCAAAGCACACATTAATGGCCCGGTTCATATCCTGCATGGGCATCAGGATACAGGGACAAAAGACACTGTCTCTATCTACCAGGGCAGACAAACATGCAGACTCTTAGAATACCAGATGAAAAACGCTACCTCAGGGGCAAGGAAAAGAGGGCGCCCAGAGGAGGCAGCATTAACCAGATGGGCTCTCTCCCACCAACAACCTTCACACAGTCACATCCCTTATAGTCACAAATCTGTTCTCTCCAAGATGCTCGCAAGAAACACCTTACCCGATTTGACCCTCACAACCACCCCAGGAATGTAGGTAAGGCAGGTAAGTTCGTTGTTTACATATGTGAAAAGTGAGCGTCAAAATAAATGGACTCGTCCAAGACAAGCCACACCCCCAGGCACTCCCTCCCCCCGTCCTCATTTAGGCCCAACCCTCAAGAACCCCAGGACAACCAACCACTCACCAGCTATGTAACCCCGGCCAAGTTCAACATTATAAACCTCGATTCCCCATCTGTCATAAAGCACAATAAGGTTGTTCGGAAGATTTAAAAGATGATCCATATAAAGGGTGTAGCACAGCGTCTGAAACGTAGTTGGTGCTCGGAAGATGTTTACTACTACTATTGTTAACAATGACAGGCGCAGACTTCCCATTACAGGACCTCTCGGTGACAAGCCTTTCGGGAACATGCACTACCCCCACCCCAGTCGCCGTCAGACCTAATTCCACAGACACGCCCCCAAACAGAGCTTCCCCCTAGGCACGCCCGTCTCCTCACACACCTGACCCCCGACGGATTCTCCCCAGTCAGACTCGGCTATGAAGGAGGCCTTCGGCTCGCACCCTGCCTCTCCAGCACCCCCTTTAGGCCTGGGCATCCCCGCGGGCGCCAAGGCCGAATGCCAGCCGTGGGCCCGCGCCGGTTACCTGGCCGCGCGCTCCCGCTCCGCCTCAAGGTGCCTCCGAGTGTTTTCGTCGCGGGCTCGCGCGAGCGCTGTGAGAGCACAATTAGTTTAAACTATGGCACCGCCCCCTCGCGCCGCCCTCTGATTGGCCCCTGTCGGCGGGTGTCGAACGCAAGGGCACGCTTGAGGACCCGAGAAAAGGAAGTGTGAGGGCCACTGGGAAAGGAGAAGGGGTGTCACTACTTCCGGACCCCCGCTTCGACTTGAGGGCAAAGACGACTACAAATCCCAGCACCTCCCGCGGCCTTGGAGCCCCGCCCCTGACGAACTACAGCTCCCGGTAGGCCTCGCGGCAGCGCATACAGTGCTGAAGGTAGTTGCCGTGGAGTTGCGCTGAGTAACCCTAAGGCAGTGGGACGCCGAGGCTGGAGGGGAAGCAACTGCGGGTGAGTCCGGCGGGAAAACAGGAAACTCGCTCTAGGGGACGAGAGCTCTATGGAAAGGGGAAGGGCACCCGGAGAGACTAAGAACTTCCTCTCTCGGGGACCTGAGACCCCCCCACCCCCCACCCCTTATCGCCTTTCACAGTGAACAAGACACAACACACATGTGGGATAGAGGGGCGCGGGGAGGGGAGGGAAGGACGCTGAGATGTATACCCATACAGATTTGGGGGTGCTTTAGAACCTCCCCCCACAAACATGGGGCCCCCTAATACGAATGCCTCAAATCCCTGACACACCCTGGGAGATCTGAAACGCCCTCAGACATGGGGTTGGTTTTCCTCTGAGGAACTGAGACCCTATTCGAGACAAGGGAGTAGCATTAGAGTACATCACAGGCCCTAATACTGGAGATGTAGGAAACTTGATGGGGCTTGAACTGCCCATTTCTTTCCAAGCAGGAAGACCCCAGGGTAAGCCTTCTTCTCAGAGAGTCAGCAGGATCTTCCCACACATTCATGAGGGGTCCTGTGCCTAAACGATCTCTTCTTCCTACGCCTCCGTGGTCTGCTTCTCGAAGCTCTACAGTTAGAGCTTCATTCGTTTTACTGTCTTCATGACAGATGTATTACATTTAGTAACTTACCCAGCGCTTTCACATGCAGTCTCTTTTGAGCTTTATGAGTCAAGCATATGTATCCCCATTTCATAGATTGGAGAACTGAAACCCTGAGAGGAGCAGCGGCTTGCCCAAGGCCACACACCAAGTCAGTGACAGCTAGGACTAGACCCCAGTTCGCCAACTTACAGCCAAGTGTCTAGCTTGAGCCTACAGCCTCTCTAGTGTAAGCACTTGTTCCAAGGAGTAGGTTCAGTGGCCCCAGGGAGAAGAAACCTGTATGGCCTACTTTGGGTTATTTACACTTCAGGCTGAATGAGTTTCACATCCTTCCTTGAAAGTTTAAGTGGGGAAAGGGAACTAGAGAGACTGAAGACAGTGGGAATCAAACAGATTTAACTAAACTAGCCAGGAAACAGTCTGGCTAACACATCACCCATGTCTGATGCTCCCATGATTAACTGGCTTCTGGATGGCTTCTAGCTGGCCCTGATTGGTCCACTTACTATCTTAAAGCCCTGGCCCCCCACTTGGTCCTAGGCCCACTTCCCACCTCACTCTATATTCTCTTCTTGGGTATTCTCATCCACTTCAGCTACCACCTGTGTGCAGATGTACACAAGTGTATATCTCCAGCCCAGCCCTCATGTCTAAGCTTCAGGTCTATATGGCCAATTGCCTCTTCAACATCTCCTTCAGGATATCTCACAGATAACCCAAACTCAACATGTCTGCAACTGATAATCTCTGTGTACTCCGAGGCTGCATCTCTTCCAGTGTTCTCACATCTATTCACCATTACAGAAGCCAAAAACCCAAGAGTTATCCTTAATACCTCGTCCATTTCCCATCCATCATAAAGTTCAGCTTTACTTCCTAAATATCTTTTCTCTAGTCCAAGCTAGCATCACATCTTCCTGCCTCCCCTCCCAGCCATTTTCCATACTGCAGCCAGAGTAATCCTTCAAAATGCAAATTAGGTATTGTTCACTTCTCCCACCCCACCCCCATTTAAAAATTTACCTTGTGGCTTCGTATTGCTCTTAGCATCAAGCAACATCTCAGCCTGGTTCCTGCCCACCTCCAGGCTCCAGTCTAATCATACGTATCCCTCCCTTTCTCCCCTCCAGTTATATGGCCTTCTTTAAGGTCTTCAAGCTTTCTAAGTAAGCTTTCACCATAGAGACTTTGCACATGCTCTTATTTCTGCCTGGAATGTTCATGTTTTCCCCCTGCTACAGTTAATTTGAACTTATCCTTCAGATTTCTCCAATCACTTCTTTAGGAATGTCTTCCCTGACTGCTCAGACCAAGTCAAATTCCTCAATTATAGCAACCTCATGTCCCTCTCCTTTATAGTATTATTCACTGTTGGAATTATTTATGTATTTGTTGAGTCCTACTACTTGCCACCTCTGTAGGGATTCAGCTATGAGAAAAACGTGGTTCTTGCCCTGGTGGAGTTTATGCACATACAGATGGTCAGCAGATAATCCTAGTGTCATGAGTGCTACCATGGCAGTAAGTACAGGGTGTTATGGGAGCCCAGAAGAGAAGTTCCACATCCAGATTTGGGCATAAGGGTAGGCTCCTCAGAAAAGGTGAAACCTGAGCTGAGTTGTGAAGTAAGAATTAGCAAGGCAAAAGGAGGAAGAAACTGTATTCCAAGCAGAGAAACCTGGATGTGCAGAGGCCCAGAGGCAGCTGCAGGGAACTTACTTCGAGTAGTTGCATTTGGCTGGCCTGCAGAATTGGAGGTGAGGATAAGAGATGGGAGTAGAGAGGTAAGCTGGAGACAGGCTGAATCTTGGGCCTCTCTTTGGCACCTGGGAATAGAACCTCCCAGAATATATTAGATTATGTGGCAGTCTTTTCATGACATTCTTTGATTTTTCTTCCTCCCATAGCCCAGAAACAGAAACCCTTTCTAGGCCAGGCCATTGAATCTCCTATCAGATTTCCTCATCTGATCATTCCTCAAAGCTTCCTGTGCCATCATGTTGCTACTTACCTGAGAGAGGGCAGGAAAAGCCTGTCAACAAATCAAATTCCACTTGTTAGTAATTTCCAAAGACTGAAAACAAATTTCCATCAACTTGGAATTGGTTAAATAAAATTAAATTAAGTAAATAAAGTTAAAGTAGGATACACACAAATTCTATGGAATACTCTGCAGCTATTGAAAAGGGTAAGAGAACCTACAACAATTTTTTTTTTTCGTGAACCACTCATCGCTTTCTCTTTTTATTTATTTATTTATTTTCCCCCAAAGCCCCAGTAAATAGTTGTATGTCATAGCTGCACATCCTTCTAGTTGCTGTATGTGGGACGCGACCTCAGCATGGCCGGAGAAGCGGTGCGTCGGTGCACGCCCGGGATGTGAACCTGGGCCGCCAGCAGCGGAGCGCGCGCACTTAACCGCTAAGCCACGGGGCCGGCCCGAGAACCTACAACAATTTGAAAAGAAAAAAATAAATTTACAAAAGAGTAGACAGTACGTATTTATTTAAAAATATAGGGCTGGCCCCGTGGCTTAGCGGTTAAGTGCGCGCGCTCCGCTGCTGGCGGCCCAGGTTCGGATCCCGGGCGCGCACCGACACACCGCTTCTCCGGCCATGCTGAGGCCGCGTCCCACATACAGCAACTAGAAGGATGTGCAGCTATGACATACAACTATCTACTGGGGCTTTGGGGGAAAAAAAGATAAATAAATTTTAAAAATATTAAATATTAAAAATATACATAATTTCAGGGAGGGCCCAGTGGCGTAGCTGTTAAGTTCATGTGCTCTGCTTCAGCGCCTGGGGTTTGCAGGTTTGGATCCCGGGTGTGGACCTACATACCATTCATCAAGCCATGCTGTGGCAGTGTCCCACATACAAAATAGAGGAAGATTGGCACAGATGTTAGCTCAGGGACAATCTTCCTCAAGCAAAAAGAGGAAGATTGGCAACAGACGTTAGCTCAGGGCCAATCTTCCTCACCAAAAAAATAAAAAAAACCTAAAAAAATATATAATTTTGTTGTATATGTCTTCTGGGAGGTTATATTCCCAAACTGTTAATCATGATTGTTCTTAAAGGGTGAGATGGAGATTCAGACTTTTAGTTTCTACTTAATGTACTTCTCTATGTTGTTTGAATTTATTCAGCTATCATGTTAACTTTTAAAGTTAGAAAAGAAAAACAGTAAAAGATATTTCCAATTTGGAAAAGAAAAATTCCAAAACAAGGCAGGTACGCCCTTAACCCTGTCATTCATCAAGTCAGTCACTGGACAGATGAGAAAGGCACTGGGATCTGACTAGCTCCTAGTCATGAGGCAGAATAGCAGCTGGGAAAGACTGACTCCAAAAACACAGCCTCTGGAGTGAGCAAGGCAGCCTCAAGGCTTTGTCAGTTGTCCCCAGCATTCAGGCTCACTATGTGACACCTTGATGATACCATTCATTTATTCCTTCATTTCTTCTTTCATTTTTCTGTTTACCATTTGTCCATTAAGCCTTTAATGAATACCCATTCTTTGGCAGGCTCAGTGCAGGGTAATAGGGGGAAGAGAGAAGGAAGTCTGGCTTCTGTCTCTGTTCTCAAGCTTACAGGGAGGAAATAGGAACTAGGTTATAAAGAAATGAGTAGAGTGTCCAACTGTTTCAATTTATTGAGCACCTGCTTCAGGACACACAGCAGCTCTCAAGATACCGTTTGTCTTCATTTTACATATGAGGCAACAGGCTGTGACAAAATTTTGTTCAAAGTATGGTGGGGGCCTGTATCAGTTAGCCATTGCTGTATAACAAACCATTCAAAAACACAGTGGCTTAAAACAATAAGCATTTATTATTGCTTTCAAGTCTCTGAGTCAGCCATATGTTTCTTCGGGTCTTGGCTGAGCTCACGCATGTGTCTGTAGTCATTTGTGGGTTGGGTCACTCTCCTGATCTTGACTTGGGGTAGGCTGGCTATAGGCTAGTCTAGGATGGCCTCAGCTGGGATCACTGGCTCTCTTTCATGTATCTCTCACCTGCATGTTTCTCATATCCCTCCAGCAGGCTAGCCATGTTCTCTTGGCACTGGCAAAGAGCAAGAGGGCACACCCTCTCTTTAAGCTTTTGTTTGCCTCACGTTTACCAACATCGCATTGGCCGAAGCAAGTCACATTGCTGAGCCCAGCATCAGAGTGGATGGAATTAAAGTTATAGGGCAAAAAGGGATGGACACAGGAGAGACCATGAATAGGGATCATCAAGGGCATCAATCTAAAACAGAACACATTGATCAGTTTTATCTAGAAAGAAAGGCTTCATCAAAGAGGGTACACTAGAGCTGAGTATTGAAACATGAGAGCATTCACTAAGTAGGCAGCTGTTTCTTAGAACTGGATGCATGCCAGTTTGCCACAATCAGTAGAAACCCAGCAGGCCTTTCTGTGCTCATGACAGACAGGGTTCTACTATTTGTATCTTGGCTTCATTCCTTCTGGTCAGACACCGGGCAGCAGGCACTCAAAAAATGTTTGCAGAATTGAATTGGATATCTTACTGTGAATGAGGTGTGGACTGTAACAGCTGAACCTGGGAGCCAATTGTTAGAAAGAGCAGCTTAGCATCAGCAATGGAGTGAGCAAGGCAAACAGAAATCCTTGTATTTGGCAGTTTCTCATTCATTCCTCCTACCAGCGTTTCCTGAGTGCCTGTTGTGAGCCAGATTCTGTGTTAGATGATAAATAAGACACAATACTAGCTCATAGCCTGGGCTAGTGTTTAAATGGAGAAGACTAATAATCCTTTCCAAATGGCAAATTTACCCAACTACTTGGGGCTCCGTTTTTAATGCTAACTCATCCAGAAGATTGCATCAGGAGATAGTGCTACACAGAGTCAGAAGTTCTTAGGAACTGCACTGAGGTCCTCTGAGGACCTGGAGGTTCTCCTCCTAAGGCCAAGGAGACTAATGATAAAAGTCTGCCCTTAAATGTTTTAAGCTAAAAATCCTCGTCTAGTAGTGCAGAACTCTGGGGTCCCAACCCAGGACTTACTTTGAGAAAAGTATCCAATCTTGTTGACAGGCATCAAACCTGTTGTAGGTGCTGAAGTGGGATGGGCTTCTGTCTAGGTGAGAACACAAGCCAGGTTCCTCTATTTGTACAAAAGGATAATGTGCTCTTTGTTGTCTGTCTGTAGATCTGATATCTAAAAGATTCAGGTCTCCCTAATCAACAACCCATGCCCACCAGGCCAGTCCTGCACTTGACAGAGAATTCAGCTGTGAAGTGACTCAAGCCAGCACTTCCTCAAAGCTCAGTTGAGACTGCTGCTTTTTGAGAAGACGACATTCACTTTCCATTCCTCTAAACCTGTTAAACTCTGTCCTTGCAGATGTTTTATCACCAAAAAAGGAATTTACTTGAACTGTATGAAGCTTAAGCTGAATTACAGGCCATCAGGTCCATGATTTTTAAGAGAAATTCCATTTTAAGAACATTTGTGGGGGCCAGCCCGGTGGTGTAGCGGTTAAGTTCGCGTGCTCTGCTTCGGCGGCCCGGGCTTCGCAGGTTCAGATCCCAGGTACAGACTGATGCACCGTTTGTCAAGCCATGCTGTGGCAGCATCCCATATAAAGTAGAGGAAGATGGGCACAGATGTTAGCCCAGGGCCAACCTTCCTCAGCAAAAAGAGGAGGATTGGCAATGGATGTTAGCTCAGGGCTAATCTTCCTCTCTCTCTCTCTCTCTCTGTCTCTCTCTGTCTCTCTCTCTCTCACACACACACACACACACGCACGAACATTTGCGAATTTCATGGTCTCTGCATACAATTTGCTTCCTTGAATCAAATGATTAGAACCACATATCCTGGGCTGGCCCCGTGGCTTAGTGGTTAAGTGCACGCGCTCTGCTGCTAGCGGCCAGAGTTCGGATCCCTGGCGCGCACCAACGCACTGCTGCTCTGGCCATGCTGAGGCTGTGTCCCACGTACAGCAACTAGAAGGATGTGCATCTATGACATACAGCTATCTACTGGGGCTTTGGGGGAAAAAATAAATAAATAGAATTAAAAAAAAAAAAAAAGAACCACATATCCTGAGGTTTCCCTTTTTGCTTTGGCTGCCAGGAATTTCAGAGCTAAATAATAGGTTTAGTTTCCTGATTCCCTAGTACATCTCTCTCTCTCTTCCTTTAATATGGCATCTAATCTTTCCCTTCCCTGTTTCCATGTTCTGCATCTGCACTGTCCAGTATGATAGCCTCTAGTCACATGTGGCTATTGAGCACTCAACAGGTAGCTTGTACAAATTGAGATGTGCTGTAGGTGTAAAGTATCTCAATTTTTAATATCAATTACACATTGAATGATATTTTAGATATATTGGGTTAAATAAAATATATTAACTTCTCCTGTTTCTTTTTACTTTTCTTTTTATGGCTACTAGAAAATTTTAAATTATGTATGTGAAAAAAATGGTATCTGCGTCTTGCATTTGTGACTTTCATTATATTTCTGTTGGACAGCACTGTTCTACAAATCATCCTGTTTTATGAGTGTGTTGGAAAGCAGGTGAAGTAGTAAATGCAAAGGTGACAGCAGTGGATGGAGTGAGAATGGGTGCCTGGGACATGTACTGTCAGTCTGTCTTTTGTTTGTATGTGTCACATACAAAACTCCTCAGTAAAGTGTTTCCAGCTCTCCTTCCCAGGTGAGTAGTGTTCTCATGGCTCGCCCCAGTCTCTTTAAATATTCTCAGCTCTCCTTGAACTAACAAATTGGAAAGGATCTGATGACAATTCACCCCACGTTCTAAATGACTGATAACATTGTGTTCACCCCTCTCAGGGGGTATTTCCATTTTAACAGGGAACAATCCCTGAAGCCAAAGGAATGAATCCCTAATGGTGAGGTTTCAGGCATCAGTGACAGGTGAGAGTGAGGTAGACTCTGGTTTTATGTGTATGTGTGTTTACATACATATGACTACATTCAAGATGTGGCTGATAGTAGGGTCTTTGGATGGAAAGATAATGGGGCTGACAGACAAGCTGAGCCACGAACGGAGCTAATCCCCAGCTGGGTCAGACTGCAAAGGGCTGTCAGACACCAGATCCAGCGCAGGCCCCCCGGGGTTTGTTAAGCAATAGAACAGCCCAGTTGATGTCACCAGAGGGTAGGTACCGAGACAGCCTCCATGGTAACTACTGTGGCAGAAAGGACCTCAGAGTAGGATTCAGGAGACTATGATTGCAGTCCACAGCTGACTCACTGGCTTAACTCTGGGCAAGTGCTTTCACCCTGGGGTCTGTTTCTTGTCTGGAAAGCAGAAATGGGTGTTATAACTATCAAATGAACTATCAAATGTGAAGGTGCTCTGGGAAGTAGGAAGTGCCCTACAAATGCAGGGAATCATGATTACTATCTTAAAACAGAAATGTAGCCAGGCAAGCCTGGAGTAGTCGAGGGTAGAAAGCAGGGGTGGAGGGCTGCGGGGAAACCTGAGGGCCGATGCCCTTTGTACTGGAACATCAGTCCTTCTCTGTCCTCCCAGGCTGAACCCCGGCCTATGCTTACACCTGACAAATGACGGCCTGAGCTATGAGTAAACAGGACTATACGAACACTTCGGTGCAGGAGCCCCCTCTTGACTACTCCTTCCGAAGCATCCACGTGATCCAAGGTCAGCCCTGAGAGCACAGCACTCCACTCCCCGTGGCAGCAGGCCAGGTGTGGTCCCTAGGGAGAAACTAGTCTTCTACTGAAAAGCCTAAAGCGATTCTTCTCATATGCTTGCAGATTTGTTGTGGTTGTTGTCTTTTTTGGGAGGAGTAGGGGGCAGGGAGGTGGGAGTTGGAAGGGTTTGGCTCTTTCAAAAATTAGCAAGAAACCTGAAAGGAACCAGGGGCCTCTCAGGGTATTGATAATCTTCAAAAGAAGCCAGGCTACAGCCAGAAAGTCAGGTGGAAGAAAATTGGGAAGCCAGTCTACCAGCCAATGGTTTTATTCTCCTGTTTTTACCTAGAGAGAGGAAGAAACTAATGAAAGGAAAACACAGGCTGCTGCAGAGTCCCGGCCAACAGGCAGAACCCCGTCTTCTCTGAGGACACAATCCTGTTCTGATCATTGGCAAAACATGCAGGGTCTTGTTATTAACAGGCTGGCACGTTTCTAGTTTAAATATTAATTAACTTTTATATTCATTCCAGTCATATCCAAGTTTATTCCATCATCACTCACACTTACTGTAGGTTCCAGCACTGCCCATTCTATCATTCAATGTCTTTGTAAATGGGCAGCCAGATCTCTCAGGAGGACACAGAGGGAGGCTCTCAATAACAGCATATTCTCAAGGGAATATGCTTCTTGCCAGGGAAGTTCTGCTGTCCCTGGCTTTTGTTATCTGGTCTCTCATAAATGCATCGGTACATCTGCCCTTACAGAACACAGGTTGGCATCAACTTATCCTAGACCCATTATCTGGTTTTGGTCTTCTCTCTTAGGCCATTGGTGGCCACCTTTAAGTTCAGGAAGCAGGTTATCCAGGAGATACTAGCCTTGGCTTGGGTTTAGAGTACTACTTGGGTTGGCATCAGCCACACTGGTAACTCACGTTCTCTCATGAGCACACACCCACCTACCGTGATCTTATTATGCATGGCATCACTTCTTTTTTTTTTATAATTTTATTTATTTATTTTTTCCCCCAAAGCCCCAGCAGATAGTTGTAGGTCATAGCTGCACGTCCTTCTAGTTGCCGTATGTGGGACACGGCCTGAGCATGGCCAGCAAAGCGGTGCGTCGGTGCGCGCCAGGGATCGAACCCGGGCTGCCAACAGCGGAGCGCACGCACTTAACCACTAAGTGCATGGCATCACTTCTGATTGATGTAGTCCATGTTTCACAAGGCTTTTAGCTGCAACAATGGCTACGTACAAGATAGGTGAGGTGACTGACAGAGGGGGAAGGGAAGTACGGCTCCTGCCTACCCTGGGAATTCCTAGCTCTGAGTGGGGAGATATAGCTTTTTTTTTTTTTTTTAATAATTTTATTTATTTACTTTTTCCCCCCAAAGCCCCAGTAGATAGTTGTATGTCATAGCTGCACAACCTTCTAGTTGCCGTATGTGGGACGCGGCCTCAGCATGGCTGGAGAAGCGGTGCGTCAGTGCGTGCCAGGGATCGAACCCAGGCCGCCAGCAGTGGAGCGCGTGCACTCAACCGCTAAGCCATGGGGCCGGCCCACGGAGATATAGCTTTGACCTCTATGGAGTCCTCAGAGTGAGGAGACAAGCTATGACCAAGGATAACTCCACAGCACCAACATCATCTTTACAGATGCCCTGTCCCTCATTCAATAGTTAAATATTCATTGAGCACCTACTATTTATTAAGCACTTATATACATATATATGTATGTATGTATACGTATGTGTGTGTATACATATATGCCAGGGATTGTGCTCCTTGCTGAGTTTTGTGGGGAAGGGAGAAGGAGAGGTACATCCAAGCCTCAAAAGGCCAGTCCCCTCAGGTTCCCCAGAGCTTATGGAACACTTACTTAAAATTGGAGTTAGAGGACTGGGTAGAGTTTGGGGGTTCTTGGTACACTATTTGCTAAATTAATCAACAGATGGATCATAGAATCTGAAATGGCAGTGACTTCAGAAGGCATCCAATCTGTACTAACTCCAACCTATAGTCCTCTAACTTCTGCTCACAAACCTACAGTGTTAACGGAGTCCCCCATCATACACACCTACCAACCCCTTCCATTATTGGAGTAAGGGATGACACAAGTTCTTCATATTAAACTAACTCTTGCCCTCTGGGGATGCATGGAAAAAGTTGCATGGCAACCCTTCAGAGATAAGACGACAGGATCATGTTTTCCTCAGGTCTTCCTGGGGCTGGACAACCCCCAGTTCTTTGAGTGTTGATATTTGTGGTCAAGTTTCCAGACCTGCTTTGGCCTACTCTGAACAAAGCAGCTTCCACTGATCCTCAGGCAACGCAGTGCCCTGGTGGAGTCTGAGGGGAGCAGTAACCTGTAGCAGCCTGCACACCATACTCCACCCTTGATAACAACAGCCCCAGCAGCCTCAAGTTTTAGGCAACGCCATCCCACCAGTGGCTCCCTCTGAGCTTGGGATCAGCCCAGGCTTGGTGGCATTCCCCAAGCTGCTGCCTCATCAGACTGGATGCTAGTCCATTACGTGAGCTTATTTTGACCTTAACTTTTATTCATCTTTGTCGTTTCATTTCAAGGTTTGCAGTCAGGAGATGTGAGGCTGGGGGGAAAGATTAGGAACTTATTCATGAGCTGGGGTACTCTGCTCCAGTACCCTTCTGCCACCTCCCCCACACCCCCAAGGCCTCAACTGCAGGTCCTGCTCACTCGAGGACTAAGGCAGAGAGCCATCTGGTGGATGCTGCCCAACCTGCAGCTGAGGAGAAGAGGAAGTTAAGGTTGGGTGGGGGTGGAAGAGAGGAAGTGTGTCCAGTAAGCTGAGGGGAGGGTGAAGACAAGCTGGCCAGGTTCGAGGAATACTAAATACTTCCTTCCCGGAGGTGGCAAAGGCTTAGGGACAACAGGAAAAATACTTCAGCCAGAGCTGGTGTCTGGCTCTGCCACTGACTGACTATGAGCTTTGGGCAGGGGCCATCCTCTGGATCTCATTTGTCAAAAACCGAAGTGGTGGCTGTGGGGGGGGCAGACAGGTCCATACAAATGGGTTCTGACATTACTCTATTCCCTAATCTCCTCAGCCAAACTTTCTGAGGCTGTCATTTACCCTACCTGCTTATATTTCCTTACCTTTCATTCACTCTTGAATTCACTCCAATCTAGCTTCTGTCCCCAGGCCCTTGCCATTTCACTTAAACAGGCCTGACCAAGGTCACCAGGGACTTTGAGTTGCCAAAACTACTTTTTAGTGCTTGTCTCCCTGAAACTCACTCCTATAAACTATGGACTCCCTGAGCATCTTTAAAACTATTCTCTCCTTGTTCTCCCTGTCCTTCTCTGATTATTCATTAACTTCTTTAAGGGACTCTCCTTCCCCCTTGTTCCTCCTTTCTACTCTCACTCTCCTTGAGGAATCTCATCTATTTCTCTAACTTGTACACCCTTTATGCTAATGATTCTCAAGTCTGTCCCCTGAGCTTCAGACCTTCATATCCAACTGCCTACTTGGCTTCTTCACCTTTTTGTACTATAGGAACCTCAGACACACCAAGGCTAAGCCTGAACTCATCACTTTCCCAACCCTGTTTCTCCTTTTCTAATTCTGTATCAGTTCATAGAACTGGCATCTCCCCAGTCACCCAAACAAGAAACTGGGCAACACCCTTTATTATTATTCTACCCTTACATCCAGTCAACCACCAAGTCAGGCTGATTGTATGTCCCTCTCATCTCTTGCTTGGATGACTGAAAGCCAAATTGTGGGGCCCGCCCGGTGGTGTAACGGTTAAGTGCGTGCGCTCTGCTTCAGCAACCACAGTTCGTGGGTTGGATCCCAGGCGCACACTGACTCACCACTTGTCAAGCCATGCTGTGGCAGCATCCCATATAAAGTAGAGGAAGATGGGCACAGATGTTCGCCCAGGGCCAATCTTCCTCAGCAAAAAGAGGATTGGCATAGGATGTTAGCTCAGGGCTACTCTTCCTCACTCACACAAAAAAAGAGCCAAATCCTTCTTCCAGTGACACCCACTCCCTAAAATCCATACTCCACACTAAAGCTTCAGAGGGATCTTTCTGAAATGAAAGATTTGAATCATCTCCTTTGCTTTAAACCCTCCAGTGGCTTCCCATCACCTACAGGATAAAGTCCAAGATATTCAGCCTGGCATTCGAGGCTCCTTGTTTATTTCTTCCTTGCCCTCTTGAACAGCACAAGAATATGCACCCATGCTGTTCCATACCTCATGCTGTTCTCATACTTTCCACCCTTCTTTGCCTGGTTAACACCTCCTAACCCACTGAAATCCAGCTCAGGCTTCACCTTCCCTGGGAAACTTCCCTGAGCTCCCAGACTGGGTTAGGAGCCCCTCTTCTATGCTTCCACAACTTAAATGGCGTTTATCACACTCGATTACCAGTTTGTTTCCATCTTGCCCATATGAGCTCCTCCAAGACATAAACATCTGCTTCATCCCTGCCCTATTACTCCTACAGAGCTTGGCACAGACTGTCTCTCATTTTTTTCACCAGTGTATATCCAGTATTTGGCACATAGTAGTTGCTCAATAGTAAAGGAAGAGAGAGAGGACATCAGTGTGTTACACTGAAGTGAATTCTATAGGCTCTACCAGTGGATAATTCTGGATTTTGTGCTATCATCTTGGTTCAAGCCCAACACCTCTAGTTCTTAGTTTCCGCATCTGTAAAATGGGAGTAGTTTTGCCCCCTTCCCCCCGACTCCCATGTATACAGAGGACCCAATAATACAATAGTCATGAGAGGAGCATGTGACCCAAACCAAAAGTTTGGGAAGTCTTAATCCAAGCTTAGTCTGACTGCTGGGGCCTGTGGGACGGGGTCCTGAGCTGACAAGGAATAGAAGCACACCGGACCCAAGCACAGGGCAATGGCCCTGCCAGCCCCTCCAGCTACAGCTTAGGCTGCTAATCCTCTCAGCTCCGTCCCTTCCACCGCCCCCCACCCAGCCCAGCCATAAAGGCAAAGATGATATATCCAAGCCTCACTTTGTCCCCACAGATCTGATAAGCGAGAAGCCAAGGACAGGGCTACGACCACTAAGGCACTCCAAGTCAGGGAAGTCACTGACGCAGTCCCTGTGGCTGAAAAACAATGTCCTCAATGACCTGAAAGACTTCAAACATGTGGTTTCCCAGCTGCTGGAGCATCCGGAGAACCTGGCCTGGATCGACCTGTCCTTCAATGACCTGACTTCCATTGACCCTGTGAGTTCCCAGGCGTGGGGGTCCAGTCAGGGTGGGCCTGAAGCCACCTTGTCCAGCCCCCCGCCTCTCCACCTCCCACATAGTGAGGCAGCATGGTGCTGTGCAAAGCCCACGGCTGTGGGCTCAGACAGATGGAGGTTCAAATCCTAGATATGCTTCTTACTCATCTGGAGCAAGCTACCTAACCTTTCAAAACCTCAGCCTGTCTGTCTAAAGAATGGGAATAATATGCCAGCATCATAAAGGTTTTCTGAGGATTAAGTGAGAATGTATGAAAACAAACCAGCACGTAGGAGGCTGAAGTAAAATCGTAGCTCTCCTTATTGGGCACCCACTGTGCCTTGTGCTGAGTTCTTCTATGGAAGAGGTAGGTAGTAGAAGTACAGCACTTACTTTCCATGAACTCCAACTCAAGTTTTTAAGAAATAAACAAAACTGGCCCCTTCCTGTCCAGGATCCTTGTTAGAGGGCAAAGGAGCTAGAGCATGACTTGGAAACTGTTCCCTGGGTAGAGTGATCTCAATTAAGCTACCATTTTAAAAGCTTTTCTTATGTCTCTAGCATGATGCTCTGTATCCCTGTCCCCTGTTGTGGTAGAATCTTAGGTCACCAAAGCTGGAATGGTCTTCAGTGAAGGGGCAGCTAAGGCTCAGAGAGAGGCAGGAGAGCCCAGTCACCCACAAGCCAGTGGCAGTGCTAGGACACAGGTCCATCCCTCCTGCCCCTCAGATCACAGCTCTATGTCAGTGTGATGCCCCGTACCCCTTCAAAGGTAAATGAAAGGAGGCTGGAGTCATCCAGTACGGCTGCAGGGGAGGGGGGTGGAGGGCAAGTTGTTCCCCAAACTCTTCCTTCTCTGCCCTTAAGTCAGTCCTAAGCATAGATCTAAGGCCCTGACTAATCGGGCTTTTGGTTTCCTTCCCCAACAGGTCCTGACAACCTTTTTCAACCTGAGTATCCTCTATCTCCATGGCAACAGCATCCAGCGTCTGGGAGAGGTGAATAAGCTGGCTGTCCTCCCTCGGCTCCGGAGCCTGACACTCCATGGGAACCCCATAGAGGAAGAGAAGGGGTATAGGTAAGTGCCCTACCCCTGGAGCTGGGCTCCAGCTGGACTCCCCTGAAGGAGAGGAGGAAGAGAGACAAGAAATCCAGCACCATCCTCCTGCCATGCTGGGACCAGGGAAGGGTGTAGAGATCTTCAGGCATTTCTTGCTATCAGTCAGGATAAACTCAGTCTCCCCTAAACTATACTCAAGTCCCTCCATTCCTTGCAGCCAGGGGAAATAGCAGCAACTGGTAGAGGGAGGATGGTGTTCGGGGCGACTGGCCCCCAGCCCGAGTCTTCTCCACAGGCAATATGTGCTGTGTACCCTGCCCCGTGTCACCACATTCGACTTCAGTGAGGTCACCAAAGCAGACCGCACTACAGCTGAAGTGTGGAAACGCATGAACATCAAGCCCAAGAAGGTCCGGATCAAGCAGAACACACTCTGAGGTTCCCAGGACCCTAGCAGTCCTAAAGGCCCAAAGATGACCAGTTTGGTTTTGCAATAAACGATTTGAGCTGTTCAGATTGGAAGTCACTTGTACCGTGTAAAAATGCTGTCCAACTCAGGCAACTAACTGCCAGTAGCCCTGGTCTTACTTCACTGAAAGAGGGAGGCAGGAGAGGGAAAGACCTGTTGGCCTGGGATGCAGGAGACCTGGGTTTACTGCATGGCCTTGGGAAACTTTCTAACCTCTCTGGGCCCTTTTTCACTCCTCAGCTCAGATATCCTGGGGTTAGAGTTGCTTTACAAAGCGTCACGGCTCTGTGGAAATGCCTCAGAGGCCTCCATGACCGGAGGCTAAGTAGATGGGCTGTGATCCCTGAATCCCCCCACTCCAGTCAGATCAGAGTAGTTCCACTCTCAATGTTTTGTATGTTGGGATTCTGCTTGAGATTTCATTTGATAAAAAGAATCTTATGCTTGAAAACATTGGCTTGCTGACTCCATATCAAGTGTTCCTGGTCTGCCTGCACCACCCCACCAACACCAGGCTTGTTGGGAATTCTACTGAGCCTGAGGCAAGGCCCCCAATGGTGACAGCTGCCTCAGATTCAAGTTCGTTCAGCTTTCACAGTGTTCTCATCACTGGAGAAGGGAAAAGCACAGTCTTATCATCCAGTTTGAGTTAGCTCAGGCCAAGTCTCAGCTAAGACCTGAACTCTTATCTCCTGGATCCCTCTTAGGGCCCCTAGAAGACACCCCTCTCCCACTCATCCATCTTGCTGCTCACAGACTTGAGTAGCCAGAGTAAGTAGTAAGGAGGTGGGCAGGACAGAGGGCTGGAACCAGCACACAGATGAATATACTTCCTTTATCAAGGGTGACAAACCAAAACAAAACCAAAAATCCCCCAAACATGTAAAAACCCAGGGTGCTAGAAATACAAACTCAATTCATTCAAATTCAAGCTCGTCCAGACCCTGGTCACAAATCCTAGTGAGGTGCATGTGAGCACCAAGTCAGGGAGCGGGGGACAGGAGTGAGGCCAAGAGAAAGGGTGGGATGGGGGCCTGCACAGGCCCCCTAATGATCACCCTCACAGTGGTACCTCCATCTCCCCAGTGACAGTGAAGAACTACCAGGCCCTGTCCTTTTGACCCCCACCCCACCCCTGGCCAGGGCTTTGAAGGCCAGTCCCAAATGGTTCTACCCTCCCTTGCTCCATCCTCACTTGCTCAGGCTTCTAGCCTCGCTCTTCTCCCCCTCCTCCACATTCTTCTCTGTGATTAGTAGCAGGTTAGGTACTGTATAAGCCGCAGTGAGGCCGGGGCCCAGGGGAGGCAGGTGGAGACGGGGTGAAGAGAGGAGAAGAAGAGCTTTCCAAGGACCCCTCTCTTCATGGGATCCCAAACTGTACAACCAGCTCCTCTTTTGCGTCCACACGGATCTGAGAAAGTGCACTGTAGGCATAAGCAGCTATCCTGGAGACCTGTGACAGAGGGACCGGAAGGAGAGGAACAGAGAGAGACAGTGAGAAGGGAGATATGGAAAGCAGAGGGAGGGGGATTGGATAGCAACAAGAGAGAGAAGGGGATGATGGGGGACAGGAAGCCAAAGAGAAAGGCAGGGATGGGAAAGACAGAAAGAAAAGAACAAAGAGAAAGAGAATAAAGGTTGAGGGGAGATTAGGGAGGAGAGAAAAAGTAAGAGACTGAGGTGGGAATGAGTGGGGCCCACAAGCTACCAGGCTCCCTAACTCCACTTCCCTACCTCCTCTGAGGCAGAGAGGGTGAACCCTCTGCCACAGTCTGGGCAGTGTGGGAAGGGTAGGCAGGGGCAGGGCAAGGAGTGGCTCACCTGCTGCAAGTCGGAGAAGGGAACGGGCTCGCTGGCCAGCACTTGGTGGGGCTGGCTGGTGAGAGACGGCAGTGGCGGCAGCTTCTTCCAATGGGTCAGGCTGCTGCTCAGCACAGCCAAGCGGGTGCTGGCCAAGAGGGAGGGGTGGGGGTGGGCAGTCAGGCCACAGACTGCCTAGCCCAGCCCAGGCACGCCTCACTCCCTCAGGCCAGAGAGGCAGGGTGACAGGCCCTCAGCTCACCACAAACTCACTCTGGGCCCACCTCCCTTGGTCTCTGCACCCTTAAGTGTCACAGGGCAAACAGGGCTGACATGAACATCTACTGAGGCACCTGAGTGATTTGTGCTCTTCTGGGCTGCACCCAAATGAAGAGCCTGGACTGGGGCCCAGGCTCCAAAGCTGGATCAAGGATGGAGGGGCCAGGAAGAGCCCAAGTAGCCTGAGGGACCCAAGCTGGCCAGGTGCTTACCTGTACTGCCTTGCCCGGTCCATGTACTCATGCTGCTCCATGCCCTGGGAGTCTGCAGCAGACACGTCGATGATGTTGCTTTGGGGAGAGGAGGCAGAGAGAACATGACAGGTGCTTCGAGAGAGACAGACAGGACTCGCTGCCAAGTGCTAACTCTAGGGCTATCTGACACCAGTGTTGCCGCCTGCCCACTGGAGCAGGGCTGGGCCCAGAGGTACCTCTCCCCACTGACCTTGTCCCATCCCCCATGTCCTGGGCCTGGCTCCCTCTATCCCAACCTTTAACATGGATGGAGGAGCTCTGCCCCAGGCTTGCGTCTGTGATTCTCACCTGGCTGTCTTAGCAAGGATGGAGGAGAGCAGGGCCTGCTCATCTGTGCGAGCAGAAGGTAGGCTGTGGTAGTTGGGCTCAGCTCCATTGAGGGCTTTGGTTGGGGGGCTGCTAGGATCCAGCAGCAGCTTCCTCTCCTCTCGGTCCTAGGAGAGGCCAGCAGGGAGAAGTCAGCCCCAGGGCCCTTAGTCCAACCTGCCTTCCCTGGGCTCTCCTCTCAGACCAACACTGAGCTTTAAGCACCAAAAAATATTTTTATTAGGGACATTCCAAGTGCCCAACTGTATGGAATGTCAGATAAGACTCAATTCCTGCCTGCACTTGGGAGCCTAGAGGCCCTGAGAAAGGTGGACAGAGGCACAAAGCAGGTATTCAGTAACAGCCCTGGAGCTTCAGAAAATAGTCCAGCACCTGCTAGATAAAAGATACCGGAGGTTGGAAGCGAGAGGAGGGGGGAAGCCAGAAAAGTGGGATGTGGAGGGGAAACTGATACAAGTCAGGAGCCCAAGAATGGCCCTCCCGATCCCCCAGACCAGGCCCTCTCCAGCAAGGCTGTCTGCTCCCAGGATGGAGAGGCCCTTTGAGGCCAGACAAGGCCCTAAGCCGCAAGGGAAAGTAAGCCCAACTTCTCAATGGCCATTCCTCATATTATCTCAGGGCAGGAGTCACAGTGCCACCCTCTGGGTCACACAGTCCAAGCGTGCTCTGTTCTTAAGGGCAGGTCCCTTCCACTCGCAGCTGTTCACTCTCCTCTGATGCTCTCTTTGTATGGGCTCCCAGAACCAAACTTGGTGCACCTGGTGTATCCTGACCTGACCTGAACAGTGGAGCTGTTCCCTCCCTTGCCAAGCCACCACACCTCTATTAGCGTTGCTTCACAATTTTCTGCAGCACTGTTACTGCCAGCCTACACTGATAATCACAACCCCCAGAACTACCTGGGCCAAACCAGGTCTCCCTGGTGCTGTATAATTCTGTGTTTCTCCTTGTCCTGTTTTAGTCCCTTGTTCTCATCTACTGCAATCTTTCTGGATATGAACGTACATTGAGCCCATCAGCTGCAAATCCCTGCTGGCATTATGTCAGCTGCAAATTGCATAAGCAGACCTGCTGGGTATCTATCCAAGCCATAAAGAGCAAAGGTGCCCAGGACAAAGCCAAGGACAAGGGGCCCATCCTGGCTAATGCTGACTCACCAACCCTGAGTGCCAGACCACCAGCCTCCTCAGTGGTCCATTCTAGGCCTATCTCAGTTCCTACCACAGACTTTCCCACTGCAGGCTCCCAGCTCCCCTGCCCACAACACCACAACTCTCCTTATAGAGGGCCACTTCCTCCTGCCCTGCCTGCCCCACCCAAGGCAGGCCCAGACTTTTCACATTACTCTTCCTTCTCAAGCCGAAGTTGCCCAAGTGTCCTCAGTTCCCAACAGCACGAGACAGAAGCTGTGGGCCTCTGCCCCACCACCTCCCAACTCCTAGACACCCGTCCTCCTCCCTAAACTACAGGCTAAGTATTAAAGAGCTAGAAAGACAAAATGCTGCCAAACATTAAACTATCCCTAAGGAAAGCTGGCTCCGTAATGAAGCCCGAGTTTGCTTCCTATGTGTCCCTCCTTGCCCCAGCCCCACTTCAGACAGATCGTCCTGCAGGACAGGGCAGTTTCTCCCCTATCGGGTTCTTCAAGAACAAGGGTGTTTTCCTGAGGCCTAGACTCCCAGAAGAGGCCATGCTACCCCATGAGAGTGGACAGATAACATCGCCCCACCCCCAAAGGGCAAGTGGAGCATGGGGGAGGTTTTTCACACCAAAGTTTGTCCCTCAGTGTCAACCCATGAGTCAGGGTTTCACTGTCACCCTAGCACAGACACATATGTGGCCTGGCCGTGACTGGCCACCTGGTCTGTGGGCACAGCTGGAAGGGACAGCTTGGCCCAATGGATAAAGCATAAGGCTTGGTATCAAAACACCCTGGCTATGACACTTCCCAGCTTTGTAGCCTTGGCTAAATCACTAACCTGTCTGCACCTTTTCCAACTTTAAATAGACATAACCAGTACCTATATGACAGATGTTTGGCAAGAGTCAAATGCGATAACTGTAAAGGCCTCTAAAAACTGTAATGTGTTGTACATTTCTCTTTATTATTGTAACAAAGGGGCAGAGAATAAAGTAGGAGAGGGGCCTGCCCAAGAGATGAAAGAGGGACTTGAGGATAGTGAATGGTTACGACTTGTAGACCTTTGCCACATGAGGCCTCAAAACACCCAGCACTGATCATGCACCATCTCTGGGGGGCTAGAAACAGAAGTGATGGCCTGTCACCGGGAAGGTGGAGATTCAGGAGAGCAATGCGCCCAGCTCTCAGAGCTCATTCCCTGCAAAAATCCATATTATGCTTTAAGGGACAATTTCCCACTAAGCCACAGCTTTCCCAGTCGGCAGGGCTATTGTCTCCTTCTCTAACAGGCTGGGGAGAAGTGAGAGGTATTGGCCGTGATGCATGACTAACATAAGGCATAGGAAATAGGAGTATGTGTTCATTGGGTGTTTGGAGATTCAATGAGGCCCAAGGGCCACCGATGCCTTCCATACAAATGACATTTTCCCAAGCTTAAGTCCCTACCCCAAAATAGGTTCATGTGAGTCACTGGGGAAAGACCTACTTCCCAAGTACCAGTGATATAAGCCATTTCTGTGCCCATTCACCCCACCAGACTGTGAGCTACCTGCTGAAACCTTTCTACTGTCTCTGTGTCTAGTATGTGCTGAAATACAGAACTCAGGCTTAGCTTAGAGGCAATGAAAAGGTGAGTGGCCAACAGCTTGAGACTTCATCTTTGGAAAAAGGTCTCCCCTTCCTCAAAGGAGGTCAAGTGGGGAGGGCAGGGATTAAAGTGTGGGGAGAAGTGAGAATGCACCAAGGGGAAGAGGAAGAATTCAAAATTGTACAAGTCTCCCCAGCCTAATCCTTTCTGCAAAGGGATCAGACCTACAGCCAAATTCCCAGGACAGGCACCCCTCTAGCTAGAGGAACCCTCAGGCTCCAGGGAAAAACTGCACTGAGGCAGGCCAAACTGAGCTCCCCACTCTCTCTCTCTATTCCAATCCAGCCAAAGCTAAACCCGATTTGTTGCTTCCCAAACAATTTCCCACGTCTCGATGTCCTCATCGTCTCTATTAAATCCTTCACTGGCCAACTCAAATGCCACCAACTTCCAGAGGCCTTCTCTGTTCCCAAACCAGCAGTGACCTTCCTTCTCCAACCCCAGAGGCTGAAAAGATACACAGATTCCTATTTCATCTCGGGACAAACTAATCAGAGCCTCAGCTTATCCATCTCTACAATGGATTCACAAAGCCGGCTAATACAAGCACAGAAAAGGCACAGGAAGCTGGGAAGGGAGTGCTTCCCAGGAACCCAGGCTGAGGATCCTTGAAGCTGTAAAAACGTTTGAGGGTGGGGGCGATGAAACGGTAGAAGCGAGCGGGATACGCGGCTGCCTACACACCCCAAGGCGGGGACTGTGTAGAGAGCTGGGGCTTTAACAGCGGTAGGAGCCCGGCCCGGAGTCCCCTATGCAATCTGTCCCCTCCGGGCCTCCGTACTCAGTGAGCCCCGCACCAGCTCCCCTTCTTGTGCAGTCTTTTTTCCGGGCCCCACGTCCCAGGGACTCAGCCCTCATTCCCGACCCCCGCCCGCCGCGGCCGCACCTGGTCCGAGTCCTCGTTCTCGCTGCTGTAGCAGCACCCCATGGCCGGGGTCGGGCCGGGCGCTCAGGCCGCGCCGAGGAGGGACGGCGTCCGTCAGGAGCCCTTCCGGTCACATGACCCGTGGCTGCATCCAGCAAGCAACCACCCGCACCCTCGCCTACCCCTCCCCAGAGCCGCTTGGCTGCGGCTGGTACCGCCGAAGCTCCGGCTTCCGGCCCCGCCCCCACCGCGTGATCATCGTCAACCAATGGGAAGACGCACTCGGCGGGACCAAGACTCGAGACACGTGATGCGACGACAGGGAGGGGGCGGATCACATGACTTCAGCGTCTTCCCGGTCTTTGAGATCCAGTCGTTTATCCAGGGCCATAGGGGCCGTGGAGTGAGTTCTAGTATGTGGTCGTGTGGCCGTCTGGCTACGTTTCTGGGCCAGCGAGCTAACTTATATCAAATGCCATTATGATACGCTCTCCTGAATGCCATGCGAGGGGCGAGTGGGATGCAGGCCCTATGCTCCTAGAGCGCACAGTGTGGGTGTACATACGTAAGCCCCAAATGCCAGGCGCCAAGTTGGGGGACACATGGAGGGTGTGGCGCCCAACTGAGTTCTCAGTCTGGACTGGGGATTTGAGACTGAAGGAAGGGACCTTATACCTTCACGGGCTGAAGCGGAGTGGCGCTCAATCCTGATAGAGAAGATAGAGGTCACCTCACTGATCTCGTTGCCCTAAGGCATTTCTCTTCAATTCTGATTTTTTACAGCAGCTGCAGTAATTTAACACACACAGCTGACCATCAATGTCCTGTTCTAGAACTATCCCATGTCTTCCCTTGGACCTGTAACACAGGTCCAAGTCTGTCATTCAAGATCTTGCAGAGCCTGGCACCTGTCTTCCACTTCAGGCCCGGCGTTGGTATGTGGGGGGGTGTTGTTGGAGGGGTCTGGGGGATGCCTCGCCAGCCATAGAGAAATACGTGCAGTTTCCTGATCGACCTCCTGGACTTTGTACATGTGGGCTGGCACACACTGTCTCCCCACCAGGTCTGCCTTCTGTCTTCAAGACTCAATACAAATGGGCCGGCCGGTGGCTTGGCAGTTGAGTGGGCTAGCTCTGCTGCTAGCGGCCCGGGGTTCAGATCCCGGGCGTGCACCGACACACCACTTCTCCAGCCATGCTGGGGCCGAGTCCCACGTACAGCAACTAGAAGGATGTGCAGCTATGACATACAACTATCTACTGGGACTTTGGGGAGAAAAAAATAAATAAATAAAATCTTAAAAAAAAAAAAGACTCAATACAAACAATATTCTCCTGCTTAATCCATATCCAGCATTGATTCATTCATTTATTGAATCAAATATTCACTGAGAGTCTGCAATGTGCCACACTCTTCTATCTGGATATGCAGCAGTTCACAAAACAGGCAAAAATCCCTGTATTCATGGAGCATCACATTATGTTGTATTCTCTGCTTTTGGGTCAGTCTCCTCTACTAAACTTGGAGATCTTGGAGGACAGGGACAGGATCTGACTCTTCTCTGGGACCCAAGCCTTGGCACTTTGCTTAGAGAAAACTTGAATTTTGAATTAATGAGTAAATTATAACCTCCCCCTCACCTTGGCTTACACAATGCCCCTTGTCCTCATCCAAGGGGTTGGAGGAGAGGTCACCAAACCCAGTAGCTCTTATTGCCCCTCAAATCAAGACCCTGAAGGAGTTCTGTAAGTTCTCTGAGGGCTCCCAAAGGGTAAGAGTCAGCTCTAGCTTATCCCTGGGGCTAGTAACTTGAACTGCAGGTCTCAGGTGACAGCAGCAGCCTCAGCATCAATAATTGAGAGCAGGTCCACCTTGCCTCAGGGTTTTCTGCTCACAAAGACTCCCCTCCTGTCCTATGCTCTGATCTTCCCCAAGCAGGAGTCTCCAGCCCAGGTAAGCAGGGCTCTTGAGTGTGGGGTCCAAGCACACCAGTTCAAACTCATCTCCAGTCACCTGTTCACACCCATTCATACACTCTCACTTTCATTTTTAGTCCCCACCACCAGGGGCCTCACAAGGGTCACATCTGGAGCAGGGAGAGAATGGTCCAGGGGATGGGAGAGGAGAGAGCACTTATCCCCCATCCGGGCCTGAGAGAAGAGGCCTGAGTGGGGAGGAAGTGTGTGCTGTGTGTATACCCTTGTGAAGGAAATTCTGAGAGAGAAGAGGAGAAGAGGGGAATGCAGGGGAGGGGAGATAGGACTGGAGAAGAAATATAGAACAAGGACTCCTCCCACCCCCAGGGAAGAGCAGAGAGAGGGAGAGTCCTGGAGAAGGAATCTCATCCTAAACCCTATGGAATAAGTGTTTTGATTGCCTTTTAGTAAGGCAGAGCACAGTGACTGAAGGTGTTTCTGACGACAAAGCTGTGTTCTTTTGCTACACACTAATGGGTCAGAGGAGACCAAGCAGGCAGGGGGTAGGGTGGAGGAGGACATCTTAGAGGGGAACTGGTGAAAGGGGTCTTGAAGAAGGGGTGACTACAGAGATGTGGGGAAACAGGTAGGGGAAGCAAGGTGAAGATAGGACCAGGGCTTGGAAGTGGGAAGAGGTGGTTTGGGGTTGGGTGCTAAACTTAGACCAGCATGGAGTCCTGGAAAGTACATGGGCTTGGAATCAGACTAACTCAGATTCAAATCCCTGTTCTGCTGTGTGACTCTGGACAAAAGACTTACCCTTTCTGTGCCATGGTTTGTAAAATATAGGGATAATAATTGCTACTGGTCAGGGCTGCATAAATGACAGGCAAATGGTGGGTTTCCCTCCCTGCCTCCCTCCACCCCAGGGCCCAGGTAGGGACCATGTCCCCTGCCATCGCTCTGGCCTTCCTGCCACTCGTGGTGACATTGCTTGTACGGTACCGGCACTACTTCCGACTGCTGGTGCACACAGTCTTGCTGCGGAGCCTGCGAGACTGCCTCTCAGGGCTGTGGATTGAGGAGCGGGCCTTCAGCTATGTGCTCACCCATGCCCTGCCTGGGGACCCCGGTCACATCCTCACCACCCTGGACCACTGGAGCAGCCACTGCGAGTACCTGAGCCACATGGGGCCTGCCAAAGGTCAGTGTTCGCTAACCTTCTGCTCCAGGAAGCACCCCCGAGATGGTGAAGGAGGATTGGGATCTGCCACTGCCTTACTGGGTGAACTGGGAAAGTTCTTGATCCTCCATAGGTCTCTTTTTTCTTCTCTGGAACTGAGGGCGCTGGGCAAGGTTATTCATTCATCCAGCAAACATTTATTGCCACTTCTTTTGTACCAGGCATGCTCTAGATGCTGGGGGAGGAGGAGGTCGAGGCCACAGGGATGGATCAGCCACAACTGCTGGCCTCAAAGGGGGCATGATACACAGAGGAATGACCATCTCAGCACATAAGCCTTAACTTTGTAATTATCTGTGTCTGAGTCTTTCTTCCCCACCATGGAGGGTCCCACATGCCATTCAGGGTAGCTGTCTCTCTGGATTTGTCTGAGTCCCAGCTCCCAGCACAAGTGCTTTTAGTGTCTTATTTAAGAAATTCATTCAAGGTTAGAAAGATATTCAATGAACAAAACAAGGGGGAATAAAACCGGAAGTTCTAGCGAAGGTCTCAGGAGCCTGGAAGATGGCCTCTCAGAAGCCCAGTAGTTGTTTCTGCGCAGGCCCTCCTAGAGGAAGCAACATTTGAACGAGCCTAGAAGGACTGCTTTCGAGTTAGCCAGGCAGATGAGGACAGGGGTGGGCAAGGGCAAAGCCAGCCACATGTACAAATGTGGCATGGAGGAATGAGCCAGCATAGTTGACTCTGGGCACGGTTGTTTGGGATGGCTGTAGTACAGGCTACAGGTGGGAAGAATCGAGAGCTGAAACTGGCAAGGTAGGGTAGGATCAGGTTCAAGAAGGTCCTGAATGTCAAGCTGAGGATCCCAAGTTCAATCCCAAAGGCCTTTAGGATCATAGGAACCAGGGAGTGATAGGGTCAGATTTGTTTATTAGAAAGATTCCTAGTGGCTGGTGTGAAGACTAGATTGAAGGAGGCAAGCCTGGAGGACAGGGGGACCAGTGGGGCAGCTGGAGCTATAGTCCAGGAGAGAGATGAGACCGCAGCTGGTTGGGGGCTGCAGTAAGGCAGGTGGGCATTTGAGATCCCTTTCTGTCAGGGACCCTGCACCCATCTCCCACGTCTGCTGCAATAGCCATCTCCCCCACAGGTCAGATCCTGACGCGGCTGATGGGAGAGAAGGCCCCTGCTTGTGTGCTGGAGTTGGGCACCTACTGCGGGTACTCCACACTGCTTATTGCCTGTGCTCTGCCTCCTGGGGGTCGCCTTCTCACTGTGGAGCGGGACCCACGCACAGCAGCAGTGGCTGAAAAACTCATCCGCCTCGCTGGCTTCGACGAGCGCATGGTCAGCCCCCACCTCCCCAACCCTGGTCTCTTCCCTGCTACCCCAGGCCTTTCCCTAGCCAGGCCTCCCCTGTGAAGGAATCCCACCTAGGAGAAGGAAGCAGCTCCTGTGGGAGGGTGTGTGAGCTCCTGTTCCAAGTCATTTGCACATATTTGCTGCTGGATGACAAACAGGCAGTTAAGAGGAACGTCTCTGGAGCCCAGCAAATCTGGGTGCAAACCTCGGTCTGCCTCTTGTTACCTGTGTGACCTTGGGCAAAGCACTTCTCCTCTGAATCTCAGCTTCTTCACTGGAAGAAAGGAAATCACAATACTGATCCAGACTTCTTGGATTCTGAGGCCAGAGGAAATGTGAGAACACTTGTGGAGACCTACGCCAGGGCCTGGCATAAAGTAAGCCAGATCCTGGTATGGTCTGGTGTGGAAGAACAATCCCTCCCACCCTCACCTCCAGCTCCTCCCACCCCCACAGGTAGAGCTCATCGTGGGTAGCTCAGAGGAGGTGATCCCGCGCCTACGAACCCAGTACCAGCTGAGTCGGGCAGATTTGGTGCTCCTGGCACACCGGCCCCGACGTTACCTGCGGGACCTGCAGCTGCTGGAGGCCCACACCCTGCTGCCAGCTGGTGCCACTGTGTTGGCTGACCACGTGCTCTTCCCTGGTGCACCCCGATTCCTGCAGTATGCCAAGAGCTGTGGCCGCTACCGCTGCCGCCTCCACCACACTGGCCTCCCAGACTTCCCTGCCATCAAGGATGGCATAGCCCAGCTCACCTATGCAGGGCCTGGCTGAGGTCTACGTCCAGGGGTACTTACTGCTGCCTCCACACCCCCACCCAAGCAAGGACTTCAGAACATCCCCTCCCCTCCCTGCTTGAGGCCTGACACATGCTGGGCTCAGGGCTGGGGAGGCTCTCCTCCCACCTCTGCCCCATTCCAGCTCCACACTGACCTGAGGCATCAAGTTCTGTCAGGCTGCTTGGTCCCACTGGTCCCTCTCCTTCTAGAGAGAGCCATGGACTGACAGGCAAGAGGCCTGAGCTCCCAACCCAGCTCTGTCACTGATTTGCTGGATGACACCAGGAGAGTCCCTGCCTTGTTCTGAGATTTAATTTGCTCTCTTAACACCAAGGAAGCTAGCTGGGAGTGCTCCGGGGGCCTCCCAGCTCTGGGCCTCAGAAAGCCTGCCCTCCCCAGCCCGTGCGATTCTGTGTGGGATCAGAGGAAACAGTAAACACTGAGTTAGAGGCCTTGCAGGAATGGCTGGGTGCAAGCTGGGACAGAGGAAATGGCAATGGACCCTAGGCCTTCCCTAGCCCTGGTCCACATGTCCATGTAGGTTTGCCTGAAGTCCCTTGAGTGCCCTCTCGCTAAAACTCAAGAGAAGATGCTGGATTCCTTTGAGCCCACCAAAAAATAGGGAATAGACATGGGGGAAAACATCAGTCCTGTGTCTTTATTAAAGAGAGTTAGAAAGAGACTATACACGGCAATGAAGGAGTGAGGTACTGGCCAGCGAAGTGACGTGGGCTCAGGCCCCGGGGGATTCAAGGGCAGACTGACCGCCCGGGAGGGGCCAAGAAGACCAGGTCCTGGCAGCAGCTGAGGAGGTGCCCGAGGGTGAGCTTTCAGGCACTGGGGCGATCAGCTGGTTCTGCAGGGGGTGCAGGGTAGGTTGGACTGGCCTGGAATCTCCCTGGGGCCACCCTGCCTTGTCTACCTAGATCATCCACTGGTCCTGATCCTGTTCGTTGCCTTCCATGTCCACCTGGAGAGGAGGCTGGGTGTGGGTGGGGAGGGGCCTCAGCCACCCAGCCAGCCCCCATCCCAGATCCTACCCGTGGTTGGATCCAGGGTGCCTGTACCCCTTGGCCGCCAATTAGGTCAGGGGCAGGGGCCCAGGAGCAGAGGCCCTCCCCCACACCCCCGCCTACCTCATTGACCTCTCCATCATCAGGTGACTCGTTGTAGTCATTCATCTCATCCATGTCCTGCATGTCCTCATCATCCTCTGAGTCCTCTTCACTATCCTCGTCATCGTCTTCATCTTCCTCTTCCTCGTCATCATAGTGCTGGTGAGGCAGGGGACAGCCTGTAGGCTCTACAGGCCTGCCTGGACAGTTCAAAGGCTGGCCCACTTGGAGCCTCTTTCTGGGGCCAGTGAATGACCCCTACTCCCCAAATCTGCCCTCCCTGAGTCTAGCAGGCTGGTGCATGTTCTGCAGGACCTTAGTGCTGGGCCCAATGCCCACCCCCTCTATCTCCTCTTTCTGGCTTCCATCCAGAGCTGAGGACCACAATTGCTCCAAGGTCAGGGGCAGAATTAGAACAGAGCCTTAGTCCCCACACAGGCCCCACCTGCTGGGGCTACTCACCTCTGAGGCTGGCTTGCCAATAGGTACCAGGTTGTTGTCTTTCTCTGCGATGCTCTGGAGCTGTGGCCAAAGTGGGAGGAGAGCAGGGCCAGGGCCCAAGCAAGGCAGGTCAGGGGCATGGGACGGGCCCACGCTGCCCCCAAGAAGACCCCCAACAATGGAAGAGAAGCTTCCTTCCAGTTCTCAGGAAGATTCAATACCTTTCTCTCCTATCATCTGCCACTTACTTATAAACTTGGTCCAACTACGTAAACTCTCAGGGCCTTGGTTTCCTCATAAGATTATGGTGAGGGTGAAGTGAGAGACTATTAGCCTAGAACATGGCATCTGCTAGGTCCTCAAAAAATAGTCAAAATTATTATTTCCTATGCTTTAGGGAAAAGAGCCTGGGCTCCAATCTGGCCCAGAGATCCCATGGTCCTGCAGCAAATTAGGGTAACACAAAGATGAGAATCTAGGCCCCCTAGCTCCCAGTCTGATTCTTCCCAGCTCAGGGCAAAAAGCTCCTCCAGGGCAGGCCTCCAGAGTGAGGCTGGGTCATGGCCAGTGAAGGGAGGGGGGGGTCCCTGACTGAGGCTCCACCACTGTGCTAGGTCCTCACTCACCCAGGCCTGATGCTGCTGTTCTTGCTGTTGCAGCTCTGTCTCCTCCACACAAGGTCGATCCAGATTAAACCACAGTGTCTCAGTCACACGGGGGAAGAGTGAGGGGAACAAGGTGGACATGGCTCCTAGACTGAGGGAAAGGATCAGGTGAATCCAGCTCTCAGATATGTTTGGTTTTGGTTTTTATTTTGTTACAGTTTGATTTGGGGATGGGGTGGAGTGGAAGGTAGCAGGGAAGCAGCCCTTCCCTGTGGGAATCAGACAGACCTGGGTTTGAGTCTTGGGTCTGCCACTTACTAGCTGTTTGACCTTGGCCAAGTCACTTAACCTCTCTGAGCCTCAGTTTCCTCATCTGTAAAATGGGGATAATAACAATTATACCATCCTCACAGTTATTCTGATAATTAAGTAACTTGCTTTATGGATAAGTAAAGCTGTTTGTAAGCTGTTCAAGGAGGAAAGAGAATGGGAGCCAAATGTAGAGCTAGGAATCCACAATGCAGACTGGCATTACAAAATTATACAAAATTAGAGGTAGCTGGGCTCTACTGACACACTTTCTACCTCCTTCAAAGACTAAGACTTACTGTTTGCCCTCTATGATGGTCCATACCATACCCACCCAGTGTCAGAAATTTAGGACACTAACCATGTCTCATGAACCACAGCCAACCTGGGGGGGGGGACGGGGAGTTACTCCGTGCAAGTATGGTTCAGTGAGACATTCTAAAGGCATGAGTAAATGGATAAATAAGTAGATAGAAGGTTGAATGGATGAACTAACGTGAGAGAACAAATAAATTCAACTCGGATGCAGTAGCTGAGGGAGATGACCCAGAGAAAGGTCCCAGAGAATCTGAATTAAAATCTTTTGGCTCACAGGAAAACAGGCGCAGCGACAGGCAACGACTGGCTGGTTCTAGGTCACAGCGTGAGTTGGGGTATAGAACTCCCCCGGGAAAGAGATCCAGGCCCGGCACTAGAGGATATGAACAGGAGAAAAGGATCTACAGCAAGTTCTGCTTTTGCCCTAACTTATTTGACCGATCTGGGGCCAGCCGCTGCCTTTCCGTGGACCCCAGCTGCCCAACCCGTGTAACAGGTACAACAGCACCCATCCTCACGTCCCAGAAGTACTAAGAGGCCAGACAGAGACAGAAGCCCAGGCTTCCAAAGCCCAACCCCTCGCCGCAAAGCCGCCGCCCATTTTTTGCTTATTATTTACGATCGTGGGCTTGACCAACAGGAAGAAGGCAGAGGCGGGACTCAGACGGGCATTTGTCCTTATAGGGCTGCTAAACGCGAAAGGAGCGGGACCTGAGGAGGGCCAATTAACTGGAAGAAATGCTGCGTGACAGGAAGTGACACCAATGAGTGACGGACTTTGTGTGGCGGGGTGGGGCTTAGTCTGGACGAAGCAGCCAATGAGCTAGAACTCTTTAACGTTAAAAGGAGTCTGGACATGGAGCTCCTGAGGAGGCGAGTCAAGGGAACGGGGTTTCCCTGGGGAGGAAGGAAGGGACAGGAGGCAGCAGCCTTAGAGACTTGCTTCTGTACTTACCGCGCCGGGAGGCGGCAGCCCGCGGCGACCCGGAAGCACTTGACACTGCCTGAGCGGAAGGACCCACCAGACCCGTGACACACCAAACGCATGCGTGTTTGTTCTCCTTTTGTTTCCCAGTCCCGCCCACCAGACCGGATGTGACGTTACACACCTTAGTCACGTTGTCGGGGTGAAAGTTTGCCGCGCCTACTCTATTGGCCCCGCCTTGAGTCTCAGCCAATCGGATTCTCCACCCTGGCCACGCCCCAACGGCCCCAGTGAGCCCCGCCTCTCCGGCCCCAGGCGGTATTTGCTCGCCGACTCGGGCTGAAAAATGCGGTAGCTGGCAGCAGCCAGTGTTAGTGTTAGGGCTGTTTGTCTTGCTGCGTTAGAAGAAAATTAGTCTGCTTCTACCCCAGAATCGCTGGGTGATTTTGCCCCCGTCCTGTCTGTCCTCTCTCACCCTGTTTCCCGTTTGAGCGCATACATTCATTTATGTATGCCTTCAACAGAAATATTTGAGTCCCTACTGTATTCCAGGCTCTGCTAGAAGCTGGGTATAAATCTGGGAACATGGTCCCTGCTCCCAAAGACCTCACAGTCCAGTGGGGCAGCCAGACTCTACAGACCTTCAGTGGACTCACTGGTCTCTTAAGATTGCCTGTCCAGTTTTGCATTTGAGGTTGTGCAAGAGCTTGAGTGAGTATAGTGAGCCCCAGGCACCGCCTTCTGCTGTTGCGGAATTCAGCTGCCCTCTCCAGGCCTGGGCTAAAGACCCTTATAAGTAGCCTCGTCATCTCTCCCACTCCTTTCCTGATGCCTTTGTTCTAGTAACCTCTGACTCAGCCTCCCCTTCAGAGATCCTCATGCCTCTTACAACAGAGGTCCTTCCAACCTAACCCCCATTAAGCTCCATCACCCACCAGCCTCTTCAGGGCCGGCAATCATCCTTAGTTCCGCTTCTGCCCCGACCGGATCTGTGACCTTTAACAAGTCCTTTCTCCCTGTCTGGACTCAGTTTCCTCTACAACCAGCATCATAATCTCTGCCCAGCTTTCCTCCTATCCTTGGTTGATGTGAGGATTTGATGATTACGTTTTTGTGTGTGTGTGAGAGGAGACCAGCCCTGTGCTAACATCTGCCAATCCTCCTCTTTTTTTGCTGAGGAAGACTGGCCCTGGGCTAACATCTGTGCCCATCTTCCTCCACTTTATATGGGATGCCGCCACAGCATGGCTTGCCAAGCAGTGCGTGGGTGTGCGCCCTGATCGAACCCCGGGCTGCCGCAATGGAGCGCACGCACTTAACCGCTTGCGCCACCGGGCAGGCCCGAGGTTATGTTTTTAAGAGGTAGTGTAGGGGCCGGCCCATGGCTTAGAGGTTAAGTGCGTGCGCTCTGCTGCTGGTCGCTGGGTTCAGATCCTGGGCGTGCACCGACGCACCGCTTATCTGGCCATGCTGTGGCGGCATCCCACATACAGCAACTAGGAGGATGTGCAACTATGACATACAACTATCTACTGGGGCTTTGGGGAGAAAAAAGGAGGAGGATTGGCAATAGATGTTAGCTCAGGGCCGGTCTTCCTCAGCAAAAAGAGGAGGATTGTCATGGATGTTAGCTCAGGGCTGATCTTCCTCATACACAGAAAAAAAACATTGTAAAAAAAAAGAGGTAGTGTATTGTGCATATCCATGTGATGATGTTTCCAAGCAGCTCTGGTTGTTATCAAGTTTTTCATTAAAGAGTAAAATTTGCGTCTTGGAAATGTCCACCCTTTTT